CTGGAATTTTCTTTACTGCAATTTCTGACTATTGCCTCCTGTCCTTTCACGGTACACCTCTGGAGCAGGTCTAGCTCCGCAAGCCCTCTTTAGGCAGCAGAGGACAACAGTTGGCTCTCCCCTTTTGCAAGAAGAAAAAAGTCTGTTCCTTCACTGGACTTTTCCATTTTGAATATACTTCTAGTGTTGTTTGTGGGGCCCGAAGCTAGTCTTGGTATTCCAGGTGTATCCTCACGATGCCGAGTAGAAAGAAACAATCACTTCCTTTGCCTGTCTGGCTGTGCTATTGCTAATGCAGCTGGGTATGTGGTTTGTCTGCATTGCTGCAAGGATATACTGCTGACTCATGTTCAGCTTCTCCCTCAGATCATTTTCTACAGAGCAGTGATACAGACAGACAGTTGCCAGCCTATTGAAATGCATGAGCTTATCCCCTCCCACATAAATGGGTGTATTTGTCTCAGATGATACAAGAAAACTTCTGGTTAGTCTGGCTTAAGTAGATTCACAGTTAAATTACCATATTCTTTAAAAAGAAAAAACCATCAAAACTTAAACTGATGTCATTATAAACATTAATTTACTGTCTGTTGAGAATTTCACACTTAAGAGAAGTACAAGTACATCATAGCAAACAGATTTTTACACAAAAAGGTGTTGACAGTAATTGATTTTGGCTATGTGGCCAGGCAATAAAAAGGGCCCTTGGAGTGTGCAACTTTGTACAGCGAACAGACTATAAATATTAGGTATTCTACACTATTTGGATGGAAATGTACCATGGCTAAAGGATCCCATTTGATGTAAACAACAAATTCTTCCAAAGAGTTGCTACAGGTGTCAGAAAATTAATTCACTGTTAGCACTATTACAAGGGCTTAATTAATTAACTCACTGTTGCCACAGTTTTCAGGGAAAGATTATGAATATCGAGTGGATTTTTTTTAACTAAACATACTCTCAGGTGGCTGTCGTTTTCAAATGTTGGCGGTAGCCAGATCCAAGCATGTAAATTCTTGGATCTGGAGTTCTTGGACCTCCTCTCCTTGCAGAGGCAGCTTCCTCCTTCCACTGTGTTTCTTGGCAGAATCCTATTATGCAGCCTCCTAGACAGCATCAATAGAAAGTTGTGCTGCTTGGAATTCATACTAATGTGATTATCCAATAAGTGAAGTAGAGATTTAAAAATCTTCTATATGTGGTTTTTATATATTATTTATCTGCATCCATTTAGCTCAGCAGTGAATTTATCAAGACTGGACTGACATGTCCTTCGCTGTAAATTAGTACAATGGCATTTGTACTTTGAGATAAGGACATGCTAACAAATTGATGAAAAGAAACTAAGATTCCTTTGAATACATAACAGTTTTTCAGCCAGCTATTTAAAAACAGATGAGGGCCAAATTCTACCCTGGTTATGATCTTGCTGTATGACAATTTCAACAAGGTCACGAGACTTTTCTCGGGGTTGGGGGGGGAACTGTTTTCATACAGAATATTAGTCCTAAAAGAAATAAGCATTCTATTTACACATATAGAAGAAGTTTCAAGTCTTCCAGGAAATCTGTTTGAAAACTATTTACAGTATTAGTATGCAAATTATATACTACACACTAAATGGGAATCTTGCAGCAGAGCACTCTGACAGGCATCTCACTATTTGAACTATGGTAGTCCAGTTAAAGAAGCAACACAAAAAGAAAACACAGCTGGATGTAATTGTATCCAAACAGATAGTTATTATGTTAATGGGGGCATATGAATAAAATGAAATGTTGTCCAGCAAAGGTTTTCCCACAAAGACTCTGTGTTATTTCAGCAAGATGTTCAAATAAGGCAAGCTTTTGTGTTTGTTTTAATTGAAAAGATGTGTGATATTTAATCCTAAAAATTGACAGATTGAGTGGGGTGGCACCAGAGAAACAATAAATCCCATCTCATATCAAGTATCATTTTAATAAATACTCTTCAGCTGAGAAGAAAACATGAATTTTGACCCTGATTACATTAGGTACTTTCAGTGATATAATTTAAATCAAATTATGAGAGCAGCATTGTATAGCAGTAGTGATATCTGCCTTAAACTCCTGTTGTTACCCCAGGCTGTCAGGGTAGCGATACACCCTTTTGCTGCCTTCCCTTTTGCACTGAAGCTTCCTGACGCTTCCCTGCCTGTACCTTCCCGCTGCTTCCCCTCCGTCCCACCCTCGTCCCGTTTCTGCCCCCGCAGCCTCCCGTGAGTGCCCCTGCTCAAGTATGCCGCGGCAGCTTTACTTCAGCGTCAGAGGTTGGAAACAGCCAGCTGCCAGTAAGAATCCACTAGATGCTGTAGAAGGGCAGTACTGGCCTGGGTCTCTTTCCAACCAGCAAAAAGCTTCGCCCCTGTTTCATTCCTAAAAACCGCCCACAATTTCTTGTTGTGTCCCTCGCATCAATCTGCGCGGCTCTGGCACATAAGTTACCTGGGCAAGGTGCTTGATCTGTTCGTACCAATTTACTGCCGGTGGACTTGAGATCTTAGAAAATAAGAGGCTTCGGATGAGGTTTATGCCCTCCTTTTTTTTTCTGTGTCCCCCCCTCCATTTTTAGGACATGCTTTTAACAAACCATAACTCAAAACTAAACAAATAACAGTTTGTCCCTTATGTAAGTGTGCCTGCTATTCAAATGGTTGCATTCAAGGGCTGTAGATATTGTTAAAAGCCCATGTCTTCTTCACTGCCAGCTGCTGCCATAATCCTAAAGCAGATACATTGTTTTCTTTTTAACTTTATATCTCAGTATACTGCCCTGTGAAATTGCTTTCTGCCTTTAAATTGACCAACATGCAGAATTTTGTATTTTTCAACCTGTCGTCGTCTTTGCAAATCACAAGTTATTCTGAGTTAAGAAACCTACCATTTTTGTTCACAGGCACAAAGTGTACCTTCCCAAATCTAGCTCAATACGTATGTCAGATGCAGTCTTGAGAATATTATCTAAGTGCCTATTTTTATTCTTAGTGATGAGGAACCGTTTATACTGCAAATGTAATATGATCATACACACATTAATTTATTACTTTAAAATAAAAACTTCTTTATTAATTTAAAAATCATGCCGGATAAAAAAATCAGTCTGATATTTAAAATATTTTCCATAAGCAAGGTACCATTGGCCTATTTGATGAAATGTATTTGTTTCTTGGCTCTGCCTATATAAGAAATGTTTAAAATTTTTGTCTGTGAATGTTTACAGTCACATCAAGCATTTTACATTATGATAAGAAGACAAAGCTTATATTATCAGTGTGATACTAAGCCCAGCTTGTCTGTCTGGCAAGTAAATTCTGCATCTAGCTACTCCCATTAAAAAAAAAAACAACCTACTTTAACCAAATATCTGCTCCCACTAGAGAGCAGATTTTGCACTTCCCGCTCTCGGTGGCAAATGTGAGTCAATCAGTAGGTAAAACCCACCTCAGAGCATAACACTTATTATTAGTTGTTTCCAGCAATGGGTAAAGAACAGATTTCTGCACAGAGTTCATACTTAGAGGCAAGTGTCAAAGGAAGGTGAATTAGGAGAAACTAGAGGACACGTGTCCTTCTGCATGCTACAGAGTTGTGAGAATGAGTTTTTGAAGGCCAAATCAGATGTGTTGAGAGTCATTCTGTTTAGGCTGCCAGTCCTCTGGTTACGCTGCTGATGCCTGGTTTTGTCTTTGGGGTTTTTTAAATTTTATTTTCTCAAAAACCAAATCCCATTTTGGAAATTTTTTTTCATCTTTTTGAAAAAAAGATCATCTTTAAAAAAGATGACGCAAATCCAGATGCTCCTGAGGGGAGCTTGGGGTTCACAGCTGAGGTGGGTATTGTGCAATTCTACTTATTTTGTCTCATTAGGTCAACCATGCTTCTTAGAGCTAGAATGCACATTGTATGGCTTCCTTGGCAAAACCAAAGCAGAAATATATGATTTGTTCCTGTTATTTTGAGAATTTGTTTTATTTCAAATACACGATGTCATGAGCTCTAAGCTTGTGGTCTTCAGTGTCTGACTCCAAAATTCCCAAGTACTGCCAATAGCAATTTAATTTGACTTAGTACCTGTCTGTGCTGCAAGTGTGTCTTATAATATGAATTTGGATATTTTCTGCTCCTCTGTACATTGCTTTCAGTCCTTTCAGCATAAAGATAAGGAGTAAAACTTGTCCTAAAAACCATCATAGGGTCCAGCAAACAAGGCTGAACAGCAAAAGATTCTCTCTTACAATAAGCCAGACAAAATGGTAATTGAGATGCTTCTTTAGACTATATGTTGTCCTGGTTTCAGCTGGGATAGAGTTAACTGTCTTCCTAGTAGCTGGTACAGTCCTGTGTTTTGAGTTCAGTATGAGAAGAATGTTGATAACACTGATGTTTTCAGCTGTTGCTCAGTAGTGTTTAGACTATAGTCAAGGATTTTTCAGCTTCTCATGCCCAGCCAGGGCACCTGACCCAAACTGGCCAACGGTGTATTCCATACCATGGGACGTCCCATCTAGTTTAGGAACTGGGAAGTAGGGGGCAGGGATTCGCCGCTCGGGGACTGGCTGGGTGTCGGTCGGAGGGTGGTGAGCAATTGCACTGCGCATCATTTGTACATTTCAATCCTTTTATTACTACTGTTGTCCTTTTATTAGTGTTATCATTATCATTATTAGTTTCTTCTTTTCTGTTCTATTAAACCGTTCTTATCTCAACCCAGGAGTTTTACTTCTTTTCCTGATTTTCTCCCCCATCCCACTGGATGGGGGGGAGTGAGTGAGCGGCTGCGTGGTGCTTGGTTGCTGGCTGGGGTTAAACCATGACAATGTTATTTAGATTTTAGGGACTATTGCATAAGGACATCAAGTTATTATATGCCTCTGGTTATTTATTTTCTTAGCCTTACAAACTGAAGAGGAGTATCTCAATGAAAATAGTATGGAGTTCCTTTGCAGTTTTTATCTTTGTGCTTTCCTTTCTTTTTAATAGCCTGGATGCGTAAACACTACTGAAGTGGATATAAAAAAATCTTCAAGAATGAGAAATCCACATAAAACAAGAAAGGTAAGTACTGTTATTATATCAAAAGCAGGAGGTGGAGGTAATTTATGGCATGAAGTTCCATAGTTTCTTAAAACAATTTTGTCATACAGCTGCAAAGAACAAATACATGAATCTTTGTTATTATTTCATAAGCTCTGAAATGAATTTGTATTGACAAATTTGCTAATACTAAGTAAATGTTATCACATAAGAAAGGCTTTGGAGAAATACACAGAGAATGCAAAAATAAAATTCATTTTTGTTTGTGTTATTCATGTTGTTTAGTAGATTGAATAAAGAATGTTAAAATGTTTCTGTCAGTAATCAAGGAGAAAATAAATTAAAAATGCAGTGCAAACTATAACAATAGTTCTTCTTGTGCTGGTCTTAATGAAAAGGGTGTCTCTAGTTTACAATTATGCCCTAAATGGATGACCAGAAATTGTGGAGGAAATCAGCTTCATCTAAATTAGGATCCAGACATGAACAGTGTAAGTTCTCTCGGGATGTATAGACAGATTGCAACAACACTTTCTTTCAAATCCTGTTGTCATAATAATATAGATTGACTCCAACTTTAAAGTACTTCCTTTGAGGTATATTTTCATGTCAACCTGTGGAAAAATATGTTTCAAAAAGGAAAGTGGATTTAGAGGAATTTTAGCTTAGCTTATTTATGGTAGTGAAAGGTCCAGATTAGCGTAATTTACCAAGCAGTAACTCTAAATTTGGATGTCATCCGAATAATTGACTGCGATACTCTGCCTTTCAGGATACTGTTTCTTCTTTTCTTACTGGTCATCTCCACCTACTGTAAGAGCTGCCTTTCAGTGTCACCCCCCTTGTTTACTATGCTGTTAATATAGAGATATAATAAAAGTAGATCATGTGTTCCATGGCATTATAAAATTGTGGGAGTTTGGGAGTCTTTATTTTACACCATGGTACAGAAGCACAATCTTATCTGAGTGCATGGCTTATTTGCAGTTTCTTTAGGAAAAGATGATCTTGGCTAACTTCTTGAGCACACTGTACTTAAACGTCACAGTTACTATGAGTACGTGTAGAAAGCATTGTCTGAAAGCAACTATTGTTGTTCCATATGTTTTTGTGTAGTCTGTCTATGGCTTACAAAACGACATTCGAAGTCACAGCCCTACCCACACACCAGTACCAGAGACTAAGCCACCCACAGAAGATGAACTACACCAAGAGGTTTGAAAAATAACTACAAACCTGTACTTTTAAATGAACTTTTTAGGAAAGTAGGTATTAAACCAAAAATTATCATAACTGGGAAGTTGTTCATAACCGATCTAGCAAACGTTTAGTAAACCTTTTTCTTGTTTCAGGATATATGGATTTAGGTATGTAACTTCTATTAAAGCTAATGAGACAGAACCTCACATTTTTTTGTATCTTGCATTAAACAGTTAAAGACAGTTAGCAGCAGGCCACTTAGTGGGTTCTTTGTATTGCTAAGCCCACTAGCCCCTTTAGCAGTAGGCAGCTTGTTCTTCTTTTCAACACTGATTCAAAGTTTGGGGGTATACTTACCTGCCCCTGTATGCACGTATGGGTTCACACATTTATCTACTGTTTGTTAATGCTTCATTAATCTTTCCTGAGATGTTAGAATTGAGAGAAGGTAAATGTCTGAAGAATTAGTAGTTCTTTTCAAAAATCTAAAAAAAGGCTAATTGGATTTCTGTTGATGAACCTTTAGGGAAAATGTTATATTGAGTCCTTTTTCTGTCTCTGTATGATCTTTTATCTTTGATGGAAAATTCCATTTATTTTAGAACTACACTGGTGAAATGTTGTTTTAACTCAGATATATTTCTCTTCTGTGCCCTAGGATAAATTAAGGTTAAATTACAGCCCTAATCAAAAAGTTATGGAAATAGAGTCAAGCAATGAACTACTCATAAAACTCTCTGCCTTGCTTTCTTGCAGATTAAGCACTGGCAAATGCAATTAGACAGACATAGATTAAAAATGTCAAAAGTTGCAGAGAGGTAAGTATATTGTCACATCTTCTGGTTTTTCAATTAGACTGATAACTGTTGGGAAAATGTCAGTATGAAATAGCTTCAAAGAAAGAGATACAAGGGAGCTCAGGTGTCATAGAAATAACTGAAGAGAGTTTACTTTAAGTGGGAGGTATGAAGGTCTTTTATTGATAAAAGATGGCCCAGATATTCCATGATACATTTCTGATAAACCCAAGAGTCACTGAAAGCACCTCTGACTAAGTGATCACAAGTTTCACCATGCATTGGCAGGGAGGCTAAATGGAAATAGGTCTGGGGTTACTGTTTCGATATTTCAAAAAGGCAATCATTGATAAAGCAAGGGAACTGATCAGCAGAGCTGGGTGAGGAGCTCGTGCTTGAACAAAGTGAGTCTGAGCTTGCTTCAGGTCAGAGGATGTAACACTAGTAGGAATCTTTCTCCAAATAAGACCAAACTTTTTCAGGAGGGCACTCGAAAGCAAACAAAACAAAAAGCCCCTTGGAAAGACTGACTACAGCTTAGGCAGAGAAGAGGTAGAGAAAAGGAATGCTCTATCTTACACATCAAATACAGAGGTAGTGAAAATTGCAGAAAATTGAGCTGCATAAGACTTAGTAAAGGAAATAAGGCCAAATACAAATGGTTCTTCTTCCTCTCATAGAAGTTTGTGTATGTGTGTCTGCTTAGATATGTGTAGGTATGCATACACATACAAACACACATATATATATACTTATAAAGAGAATAGGTTAAGAATTTGTGTTTGCTGAACAGTAAAAATGGAATACAGATTAAATATAAATAGGAATGAAAAGGAAGAATACTTGTCCTCACTTGTCAATAATCTTTCAATAATTATGAGGCAAAAGGAAACAGAAAGCAGGAATAAGAGCATGGGAGATGTAAATTACCCAGAATACAAGCAGCTTTTAGTTTGTTCAACTGAGTCAGACCAATTCATGAATATCGAAGAATTTGGAAAAAAAATTGGAGGGTTTTGGAAAGCAATAAACTTGGGAGTAGTGCCATTTGATTAGGAAATAATAAAAATATTAACTGTATTTAAAAGAGGAATAAAGGAGTCATAGCAGCTGCAGGGCCAATAAATATGACCTGAATATCATGCAGTGTTATAGAACAGATTTTAAAGGAACTGATAATTAAAACCGTGGGGGTATAAAACATGTTCCTTTATGAACGCAAATGTGCATGGAAGAAATTGCTTGATTTAATTTATTAGTGCCTAAAGGAGCACTAAAAGGAGCTATGTGGAAGTATTAGGGAAGTTTGTAGTTTATTTTATTTCAGCTCTTGATAAGACTTGAGCCACCCCTCCTTCTTCAGGGGTCCACTTTGAAAAGGCTTGAGCAAACATATTTTTGCCTTAGCTTTGTAGCTGACTTCTGAGTGTGCACACACCTGGTTACCATGGTTCAGTTGATGCAAGGTGACTTGTTAACTGGGGTAACCTGGCCAGGTTTCCTTACCTCCTGACATGACAATGTTTGATGCTTTTGTTTTCCTAGTCTATTAGCTTATACAGAGCAGTATTTGGAATATGATCCCTTTCTTGTGCCCCCTGATCCCTCAAACCCTTGGATATCAGATGACACCACTTTCTGGGAACTGGAGGCAAGGTATATAATTTTGTTTCTTCTTTTGGGGTAAGGGGGTATAACAGTTTTTTCTTGAAATGTGAAGATCTCAGACAGAGGTATTGCAGGAAGATACTGAGGCAGAAGGACAATGCAGCATCCTTTTGGTCTTTCCAGCTTTACTGTTTCGTAAAATGGGAAAAGCTGTGGATCAATAAATCTGTGTAAAAAGTTACAGTAACCAGTTTCCAGGGTTCCAGCGTGGGGAAAAAAGACACCTTTTAAAATCTGATAACATTTCCTAGTTGGAAGTCCTTATTCTTCTGTGTAAATGCATGTGTATTACCTCCATCCTGTGTAACTACTTAAGAGCCTGGTTGCTCATCTCTGAACATTGCACAGTTATGAGCAATCTGGAAGGTGAGAAATCCGCAGTTGAACTTTAGGATTTAGTCTAAATTATGAACACAGAGTATTAGAATACTGAAGTATTGCTGATTGTGGGTTCTGTTGTTTTTTCTTCTGTAGCAAAGAGCCAGGACAGCAGAGGGTGAAACGATGGGGGTTTGGCATGGATGAAGCTCTGAAAGACCCTGTGGGAAGAGAGCAGTTTCTCAAATTCCTGGAGTCAGAATTCAGTTCAGAAAATTTAAGGTAAGTGAGAGGGACTTTATTTTTTAATAGCTTGTAAGATACATTGGGGTTTTTTTTTGTCTGATACCTCTTTTTCCATTTTTTGATCCCTTCAGAAATTTTCCTGTCTTATATTTCAGAATCCATTCGTGCAGATTTCTCCCTGCTCCCATATTCAGGCTGAGGGAAAGATTGATACAGTAAGCAGAGACTCACATGAAGCATATTTTCCCATTCATGTCCAACTTTTGGCCAAACTACCCACGTAAGAGCTTTCCTCTCAGCTCATTTTATTAAAACGTTTAAAACACTGACCCATTCAAAGCCTATTCAGTATCTTTTATGAAGTCCAATATTATGAGAACAGTAAAGTAAAATTCACAGACTTTCACTGTTGGTCAGGTTTCTGGGAATCATTGATCTTTTGAAAATCTCCACCAAGATTCTAGTACTCGTGGACCTGACACAACAGAAGTACTGTGACAACTAACTCTCAGATTCCTCACTAATTGCAAAATGGAAAGGTGCTGCTAGTGTATGAATCTTAAATAAATCTTTTTTAAAAGTATATACACAGAATTACTTTTAAGTGAGGGAAAACAGTTATTTGATTTTAAAAAATGATAGTCCATCCATTGGGTAATAGCACGTTTTGTTGTCCCTGTTCTGAGGAAGTCATGTTTCAGTAAGAATTATTTCAGAGAGATTAATAACAGCCTTTCTATAGTTAAGTCAAACTGTACATAGTACAAAAGCACATACAACATATTTTTCTCTTTATGCCACCTTCTTCTCAGATGTCATCTATATCACTTCTCATTCACCAATACATAAGGGGTATAAAATCCTATTTGTACACATTCTAGAACTCAGAAAAATCCTAAACTACTTTTTTTCTATGCCAGTTCTCATTCGGAAGTGGAGCAGCATAGCCTTTCATACTAGAGTTACATTTATGTAGCCTCTTACAAGAGGCATTTAGCTTTTCGTGGTGTTGATTGATAAATACTGAATAATTGCATAGACCTCCTTGTTGTTAATTTAAGTTTGTCAGCAGAGGAACTGGAGATGGACTTCTCTAAGTTGCTGACCATGTTCATATTCAAACATTGAATTTTGCATTGCAAATGTATATTAGATACTCTAGACCTTACGATATTTTCCAACTGATTTGTTTGCTGTTACCCAGATGGAAATATGGCCTGACCTGTATGTGTATGTTGATAACTTCATTAGTGACAGATACAGATTTATTTTTTAATTAAAAAATCCATGTAGTAAAATGAAATTTTTAAAATCAGAATAATACCAAGGAAAGGAAAGGTAATTATTTTATTGAAAGAGCATCCTGGTAATTCCTTATGCAGAGCAGCTGTTCAAACATGAACCTATCCAGCCCAGTGTGTGCTGCAATTTCTATGCTTTTCTATGATTAATTTGTCTCTCTGCCAACTAGACTGTTACCTGCATAATCCCTAGCTCTTTCTTCTAATCCTATTTACAACACTAACCACAGGCAAACTGCAAGTGACTGATCCAGAAAAATTCCCTAGAGAAATTTGTTCAGAGCTGATTCCTTGACATGCCACCTACTCTTCTGTGTCTCTCTCCAGATTCTTATATTGGCATTATAAAATATAATAACTGAGCAATGGTGAATATGAGCTTAAAGGCTGTCCCTGGGAAGGATCAGGCAGGGGATCAAACTTGCACTGAAAAGGTGTTTTCTGTGATGATTAACTGAAGGAAAACTGTCTCACAAGCTCAGAATTAGGTTTATGAATTCTGAAACTGTAGGGAAATCAACCCACCATTAGGCTTACACAGTAAAGTCAGGTTAGAAAGCATGAATTTGTAAAGCTCGTTGTGTATGGGAGTCAAAATGTTACAGATGTCAGTAACAGAAATGAAAAGCTTGATGGTTTCAAGCTTTACTGCTGAATAAACCTTAAATTTAAAAGATCACCAATTTCTTTGCTCACCCGTTGACCCTACTGTGGCAATTTGGTTTTTGGGGGTCGTTTTTTTCCAGATTTGACAGCCACCTTGAGAAAAAGATATATTTCCCTCCACGTCTTCCCACTGCAACAAAGTGAACTCAAGTCAGTAGCTGGCTCTTGTCCTTTTACAGATCTAATCATGATAAAATGTACAGCAAGCACCATCAAACTCCCAGTGGGATAGACAGCTGGGACCCTGCATTCAAGCTACCAAGCGCTGTACACAGGGTGCAGCACGGGACTGCAGACACTACAGAGAGATTCAGTATTAATTGATTAGAAGTCTTATACCTCGCTTTGGTGAAAGAAATACAAAAAATGTGAAATGATATCTCTACCAGATACACAGTTTCTGTTCAAGTGTGATTATCTTATGTAGCTAAAAGTCCCAGGGTTACTGTTTCATTAACTTGGACTGAGAGTGTCTAAACTGGCTGAGAATCTCCTTAGTGGATATAGATCCTGCCTTATGAAACAGAACAGGGATGAAGAAACTTGAGCCATGAGTTAAAACTAAGAACTGTGCAATGATTAGGAAAGCAACCAGGTTTCACCTTCCTACTCTGTATCTCTGTGCTTTTTTTCTTTGCCTGTAAATGGAGATTAATAGTATTTCACTCTCTAAAGGGGTGTTGTAAAGCATAGCAAAGGAATAAAACTGTCTAAGCAGTTCTGTCAGTGCAGTAGCTTCATTACAGTGTGATTGCAGTTTGCTAACACCCAGATTGGATTCTGTATTCACCTCATGCATGCTATGACTTGTAATTTCTTGTTACCGCATGGATTTTTTGGAGGGATCACTTTGCATGCTGCTCACTACACAGAACGAATAGCTAAAGTAACATATGATTTGGATAATAGATTGATAAAGTTCCCATGGCCTATTACAAAAATGGTGACCATTGTTTAAAATTCACAAGACTTAAGTTTGAGCGTGATCCAGTACTACTGAGCTTGCTCACAAGGCTGTCAGACCACTGAAAAAGGACTTTTCAAAGAGAGTGAGATAGTGAAATGAATCTTACTGCAATGTGGCACCTGATTTCTTTCATCCCTGTAGAAAATTCTCATTCCTCTCCATATCCTTTGTCTGCAGTGCTGCAGAATTCTTTAGAAAGTTAATATCCATGTGCTGATTGTACATTTGCTCCCAAGTGGTTGTTTTGTAGGAACTGCAGCCTGTAAAGATCTAAATAGTTTCAGGCCTGCCAACCTGAAAGGCTGTCCAAGTCATTATGCAGTATTGCAGTAGGTGTGATCTCCAAGGCAGTGCTAAGACTGCAAAAGCCTCCTAAGTTAATGCACAGAGAGTGGTGACAGGACATCTGCTGTGATGCACAGAAGGAAAAGCCGCTGGACCCCTTGCCCATTCCTTTGATCCGCATTATTCCCCTGTAGGGAAAAGGGGCTTTGAGTTCTGGCTGTCCAGAAAAAAAAGAGAGGGACTGAGGAGTTAGCTAGATTTAGATGTTTTCTCTCAATAAGTTTTCTCTGACCATCCCCCTGCAAGCTGAGATTTTGCGAGGTGTTTATTTTGGACTCATCCATTTAAGTTGTTGTAGAAATGTTCTGTACTGGAGATAGAGGCTTCAATTATATCCTGTAGAAAAAATAAATAAAACCCCACATAAGCACTACTAAAAATTTGCAGTGCTGCCTACAAACTGTTTCAGTCATAATGCTTAATTTTATGTTTAACTTACTTCAGTGGTTCTGGTTATTCTTTTAATAACTCCATAGCAGTGCTTTTACTAGAGTAGAGGGAGAATGGTGCAAGAGGTTAAGTTTTCTTTTTAATCCAGCCTGTTTCACTTTCACTTTTTTGGTCTTTATTGCAATCACCACTCTTGATGATCTTAAATGCAAGACATTTCTGTTTTCACTGATGGTGGAGGAGAGAGTTCTGGAAGTTACAAAGTATGAAGTTTGATTAACTGTCCTTGATGTCTGTCCTACAAGTCTGAACAGAAGTGCTGGTAATGACACTTTCCCACACAGTATGGGAACTGGTAATGTTTATCCTTCACACTCTTGATTATGAGACCCTGTTTGGGGTGCTAATAACTAGACCAAAATTTAATCCTCCAGGTTGAAATTGCCCATGCTTTATTTCTCATTCAGACTCAAGCTTAAACTCCAAGTCCCAGCAATGTTGCTATTTCTGCAGATTAGATGAGAACCACCTAGTTGCAAGATTTAATGGTTTTCTCCGTCATGTTCTTGAAGACCTTCAACACTACTATGTCTTGAAGCTTGAAGTTGTACTTGGCAAGAAGGTGGAGTCTAGGTATCAGAGAGTAGTCTTTCCTGCCCCTAGAAAAAAGTTAGCTGATTTTCTCCACGGAGTTTGTTAAGGTTTTTTTTGCTTTGCTGAAAATGCTGAAAGGTCTGTCCCCTGACCTGTTGTGTCACATACACTGGGTGCGAAGCCCACGTAATTCCCACTTCACTGTCTCCGCACTCTGCCTAAACCTCACACGTTTTGTGGAGAATCACTGCAGCCTTTCTCTCACTCTGTGTTCCTATGTCCGAAATTCAACTGATTAGCTTGATCTGGGATCTGCTGATGGCTGCCTCTGACATTTAGGTCAGTTAATGGGACAGAAGCTGTGTTGCAGCTGTGCTATTTATCTGGCAAGGCCACCCTCACTTTGAAAGTAATCCAGCTGAAGGACATAATCCCCAGATGTCTTGCAACATGTGTCTTACCATGTCATGTGGCTGGATGTACAACTGTCATATGCTTCACACTCTCACGCAGCTGTATGTCTGGCGTATGACCCAGCTGGGACAGAAGACAGCAGTGAGGTTTATACCCAGCTACTCAGGTCTCTGTTCAAACGGTACTGAGCATCTTGCAGAAACGGTCTCCATGGCAAAAACAAACCTCCACCAACAGGAGATACAGGGTTCCATGCAAGGGCAGAGAGACTGAACTCTAGTTTCTTCCACAGAGTAGCACTAAATCGGTGTATATCATTGCCCAGAAAATGCAGTTGCGTTCCCCCTCTCCCCTCTCCTGCCCTTGCACGTATTTACTGTTGCACACTGCGTGCTTTTTGCTGCAGGAGTCTTCCCTCGCTCGGGTCACAGCTCGTGAGGCAGACAGCTGTGAAAGGGGACAGGGAGCTCTTCTGATTTGAGGTCCTGCGCTGAGGTCTTGCAGACTCCATTTCAACTTCTTCTGTGCTATTGGTTGCTGTGAGATATTCAGAAAAGTTATTTTTTAAAATGCAAGAGGTGGCAGCCTTATTTTTGGCATTTCCCAACTTTGCATATTTGACTTCAACTCTCTGTAGGAGGAGGGCAGGCATTTTTTCTTGAAAGATCAGTAAGTAGATTAAAATGTTCAAATGTGTGTTGGCTGTGAAGTAAGCACCCTAGACATAACACACCGCAGAGATCAGCATTTTCTTCCCACTTTTACTGAGGTTTCTATATTTAGAGCCTCACATTTTCAATAGGGTTTTGAATGCTAATGTTAGAAGGGTAAAATAAAATTAATCTATCAAAAAGCTGGTGTTCAGCCTGTAAGGATGTGTCTGTACAACCTGCCTATTCTTTGCTGGGAGCTGAATGTTTCCTCAAAGAAGTTAAATTTATCTCTCATCTATTTGCCCTTAATTGAGTATAACCTACTATATGGAAACAGTTTACTTGCAAAAGAAAATAGCATCCTAAGGCGTGTTTGTGGTGACTTCCAAAAGTATTGGCAGTGATATAATGGAACAAACAAGAATGTGACAGCTTTGAGCTAGATCCTCAGGATGTCTGCAGGGTGATAGAAAATGTGTGTTTACAAAGAACATCCTTCCCTTTCATTTTTCTATTCCTTACCTGACTTCGATACACATGAGTAATCAGTCAGTCCCAGAAGATGCATTTGAAGGGGCTAGCACTGCAGGATATACACTTTTAAATGCAAATATCAAAAGCAGCTTAAGGAAACCAAAGTAGGTTGCCCAAATTTGACAGAGTGAACCGAATTAGAGTTTGTGAGCTGTGCAGTTTTTAAACTTGAGTTATGAGGCCTCTATTCTTACTGCATTGCCATCAGATTCTCAGGATATGTCCTCAGGCGCTGTGCAGATCTATGTTCAATTCACACTGCAGTTCATAGAGATAAGTGATGCTACCCAGAATTTTTGAAACTGATATTCTTCTGTTGGCACAGATTCCCTTTGTGACCTTGGAGAAACCACTGTACATTATTACATTATTAATATATTTGCAAAACTGGGACAATATTACTTCTCTGTCTCTTGGAGAATCTTAAGGAATCAATAGACAGAAAGATTATGCTTAGATACTATGGAAATTGAAGGGTGTAGAAATACTAAAATAGTCATCTCAGTAGAGTGAAGCTGACCATAATGGCTTGTGAGCAATGAGCTTGGGCTCCTTCCATCTGTGCTGCAAAGGAGTTTCAAAGCAGGACTATGAAGGACTAATTGCTTCCTGGAAGGTAAATAATCTCAAGTGAAGAATGTCTTATAGGAGGAATACTGTAAGGTTTTCTATGCTATGCTTTACTACCCTCTCTTAAGAGTTGTTGCAATGACTATATTGGAATTTGGATTGAGGGTGGTATTGTTTTGCTTTCTTGGAGGATCTGAGTACAGTTCCACTGTTGGTCTCCCCTAGCCCATCCCTGTTTAACTAAGCTAAGAGAGCTCAGTTTGATCTCACAGTGTAAGCAGGGTGGAAGTGCATTTTAAAGGTGCACCCAAATTATTTGTCAGCCTTGTAAAATCCAACTTATTTCACAGTTAACTCACTTCAAGGTTCAGTTTATCTATTTCCTGGGATCAGCTGTGTCAAAACAATAATGAAATGTTGTGATAGTATATATTGCATATTTAACCAAGTCAAGCTGTAGCTGAGCTCTTGGGGGGGAGGTGGGGGGAGAACTAAGTGGTCTGCCCCGTGTCTAAGCATGGGATCCTAGTTGAATTTAGAATTATTCTGTGCAGTGAGAGAGTCTAAACACCCACAGAAGAAATAACAATAAAGCAACCATAATAGCAAATGAAAAGTGAATATCAAAGCTTATAGCTAGCTAGCTGTGATCACAAAGTGCTCAAGACCTTTTTAGTGATCCTGCTCCAGGCGGAGTGAGAAGGATACAATGAACTGGCATGCACTGCATGTGGCTGCCCGATACTGGTTTGCTCAGCAGCAGAAAAGAAGACAGAATGGGTACTTTCATTCAGCATTTTAGTAAAAATATGCATGGAAATGCAATGCTGAAGAATGAAATTAAATTACAGCAGGTAAAACAAATGCTTTTCCAGTTCATACATGAGTTGTGGAGTAATAGTAACAAAATTACAGTTACGCAGTTTGTAGTTTAGCAGGACTCAGAGAGATTCACATAGAGAGCAAGAACATAAGTTCTTATTAGCTTTTGAAGGAATGTCAAAAAGCAATAGGTTTATAAGCGATATAAGCCTTGTGGTTTAGGTGAGATGAAATCTCAGTTTAATTCCAATTAAATGGAAACTTTCCCTTAAGCAAGTTAGCCATACATAAGTAATGAAGGATTTCCCACCTGTCTCATGAAGAGGCTTCTAATAATTGCTTCTTAATGTGGATTGATTACCTGACACAGTATACCGGAATGCTGACCCCAACATGAAATCACAGGTTTTTCTCATTTTAGCATGTTTTAGATTAAACCCTCTGTTACTTATTTTTATTTTTTTTTAAAAGCAAAGAAGAGTGTGAGCACTTCGTTAATGATTATAATGAATTGGAAGTCAAAATGCTATATTGTGCCATAGGTTCTGGCTAGCAGTAGAAGACCTGAAGAAGAGGCCTATCCGTGAAGTTCCTGCTCGCGTCCAAGAAATCTGGCAAGAATTTCTTGCTCCAGGTGCACCCAGCGCTATCAATCTAGATTCAAAAAGTTATGACAAAACTACACAGAATGTAAAGGACCCTGGAAGATACACATTTGAAGATGCTCAGGTCAGTTTGCAATCCTGTTTAGGGACATTTGAAATAGAATATCGGCTAGTGAAATCTACATACATAAAATAAGATATATTTGGGAATTAAAGTGCCATTTTGGCAATGCAAATGAGTAACATTCTTTCATGAGGCTTATGAATTACTAAAGCTCTTTATGAGACTTCTGTGCCTGGTATAAAGTCTTCAAGTGGGCTTCAAATAGAGCAAAGCATATAGTGCAGTGAAAATGATATTTTCATGTTCCTGTTTTCTTAATTTTCTTACTCAGTTACAACAAGAGAAAAGTTCCCCCCACACACACATTGATTTCTAGTTCTCAAGATCTGTCTCTGAAAGACTTCCCTTGATACAGGCTCAATGTCTGTTCTCTCAATGCATGTCCAAAAGTGTTGTTATCATTTATAGGAGTTGTAGGTTCCCATCATGAAAAGAATATGACCCATGTGAGAAATAACATTTTGTAACAGCTTGTGCAGATATTTCATGGATGTTGTATATTCCATACCTTATCAAACTACTATCTACAGAACATTGGGCAAAGATCCTAAAGATCTGCTCTTCAATAATGACTAATACAACAGTAAAGAACAGTCTGTAAATGTCTTACTTGGCATTTGGGGGTCTGATTTAGTCACAGTTTGAATAACATCATCAAAAGATACTTTTGACCAGAGTTAGATTTGTGAAAATACCAATATTTTTGAGATTGGAAGTAAAAGTTAAAAACCAAAAATGGTAAAACACAAATCTCTGTTTTCCTTGGAAATAAAAGCAAGTACTTCTGCATTAATTGCAACACTTCGTGTGACTTATAACTTAATATTTAATCTTTGCAGACTTCTGAGAAAAGCAATAGAAAAGAATTGGATTCACAGTAAAAGTAGTAGAACCGGTACCATCCTCCCTTTTTCATCAGCAGCCCAGTGATGAAAATTTAATTATTAATGCAAAGTGAAATGGTGTCAAAAGGAGAGGTTGAGATCATATCCCTGCAGAATTTCCTGCAGCTTGATTATTAGGTCATCATCTTGGGAGTCAGGAGATGCTGCTGCAAGTGTCCCACAAAGCAGAAAAGGGAATTGAATCGGGGCTTTCTACATTTCGGGAGAGTGTCTCTGCCCTGAATAGGAGGGGGAATAATTCTACCACCTTTTCATTTTGCTATTATGAGAATAGTAACCTATGATGCAACATAATGTTTTCATTAGACACTGTATCATACCCACTGTTTTGAAGTACTCTACATTAAGCCAAACACACAGTTTTTGCTTGCATCTGCTGACACCCTGGAGATTTAGGAATGCAGCGTATAGCAAAGACATGTTACACAAATAAACAATCTAGCAAGATTAAAGGTTTTAAAAAAACTAAGTCTTTGCAGTTGAGTCATTAAAGGACAATTAAATTCCTTGCCAGTATCTAATAATTTAAAAAAAAAAAAAAGGTGTAGAATTTCAACACCAGACCTCTCTACTCTCTCTTTTTTTTTTTTTTTTTTGCCTTCATTTATGAAAGATGTGGAGTATTCAGTCTTTATGCAAGCAGGACTTTTCTTCCTGTCAGACCTCTGCTTATTTGATCCAGTTCAGCGTACTGAACCTCGGAGCCTCCATCTCTCCGGGAGAAGGGGACAGGCTGTACCTGCCGCGTTCTGACGTGAAGCTTTAGGACCTTTACAGAGTGCCCCAACAGAAGGGACAGGGTTTTGTCAGGAGTAGGGCTCTGCCTCTGCAACAGGCTCTTTATGGCCTGCCAGTTGGGGAAGAGACCACTTATAAGTCATTCTGACAGTTGGCAGGTCATTTAATTGTGGTTAAAAATGTTTTGAAAAGCATTTCTGGAGTTGAAAGATAGCACCATGGAACTCCTTGTCAAATGAGAGTGATACATAACATAAGTAAAACTAGACCCATTGTGCTAAATAACATCCAGCCTCAATTCCTGACTAATGTGTACATTAACAATACTAATACACCCTAATTTATTCTTGCTTTTACAGGGTTGGTTTTTGCACAGGAATGACATTTTAATGCCCATCACCTTTGCTATGTACAGCAGGAGCACATTCCTTTCTGCTCTCTGCTGGCTGCGTTGGCTGCTTTCATAGAAATTAAGTGGAATAAAAACTTCCCAAATGAACCAGCCTAAGTTCTGAATATACACCAGAATTTCTCTGCTTAGTACAAGAAATACAATGAAAGGCACTTAGAATCATTTCTAGAGTTTTCTAATACAACAAAAATTAAAAGTCAGCTTTAATTTTACCTTGCCATAATTTACAAGCAAGGTGGTTTGTTGTTTTTTTTTTCTATTCACTAATTATATGCTGTACCAAGCTGAGAAACAGTATTTACTTTACAGTTTATTTGCTGTTTCCTGATTGCTGTGCTTCAAGTTTCCTATAGTGAAAGGTAGGGTTTGAGTAAAAAAATAAAACAAAAATAGCTAACACAAATGAATGGATTTAAAAAAAAAAATTTGAGAGTATTTCCTATTCTGATTGCTTTTCCTACAAATCTCTTTCCTAACTAGAACTAGAACTAGAATTACAAAGTGTCATAGATTTTTAGTTTTTCATATTTTACAGAAATGAGAGTGCTCCAAAAAAGAAAAGCTCTATAAACTGCCTGTGTCATTTGTTTTCTGGATAAGGGTTTCCAAATTTTCATATGCCTCTGAAGAATAAATATCTCGGAAATTAGATTAGCCTGGAACTGTTTTTCAATTTGCATATGTATTTTCCTTTTTATATTGTCAGCTGGATAGCAGACTAAACATCTGTCAAAGGATGTTTTCAAGAGTAGCCAGGGGATATCCTTCCTAACTTAAGCACTTATTTGTGGTGCTGAATTAGAAACCTAGCACCTTTTCCTAGCCTATGAAGCCAGAAAAGCATCTCCAGAAGCTAATTCAGAAAATCTGATGAGGAAGGATCCACAGCTCCTGATCTAGTCACTTAGCTAAAGTGGCAAATGTAAGGGAGGTTTGAAACTGGGCTTTAAGCTAGGACTCAGTTGTAAATTCTTAGAAAAATAATTCCGTAGTGGAAATAGGGACTATAAATTAAAGAAAGGTGTGTTGTGTTCTTTATATATAAAAAATAGGTGGGATTTCTGCTTTAAGAATAGGGAGCAATTCAGCCTTAGCTTCAGAACCGCAACCTGCTACCCCATAAGACTTCCTAGCCAAAATAGCACTAGCGGGTATACATTCCACAACTAACACATATGTGATTCCCTCCCATTTTACATACATCTTCTTCTATGGGAGTAACAGCTCCTTCTTTCCCTTTCAGGAGCACATTTACAAACTGATGAAAAGTGATTCTTATCCTCGTTTTATACGATCCAGTGCCTACCAGGAGCTGCTACAGGCCAAGAAAAAGGTATTGGTCCATCTTGCCTTTGTCTTGCCACTGTGCAAAGCGGTGGTTATGTTTGCAACAATACTCAGTCTTCTCTCCCCTGTGCCAGTGCAACTGGATATCTGGTAGGTGACCAGCTTGGCGTGTTTGGAGGGTCACATACACACAGGAGTTCAATATACATATATGTGTATATATCCTGCATGCGGGCATGTTTCGATAAGTTAATCTAGCAAAACTTATTTTTATTTTTACATCCCACATTGTACTGTTTTCTCTGTTATGAAGCACCTTAAATTGCAAAGTGCTTTACAAATACATTAAAAAAATAAAATAAAATCCCAGAAGAATAGTCTTTCATGTTTGCAAGTTTACTTATGTAATAATTGTTGTTCTCTTTATTCCACCTATAAAAGCTACAGAATGTGTTTAGAAACAATCTTATTCATATGAATAACTTCTAATTTCAACTACAAATATAGGGGCTTCCTAATTCTGTTTCTTTCCCTATTATTACATGAATAGTTTTGAGTAGGCTAGGAATCTGACTTGAAAGACTGATCATGTCACACTTCGGCAAACAGAGGCTCATATCTTGGTATGTAATATTTGCTTAGAAAAGTCCAGATTATGGAATGAGTTCTGAATAGACACAGCCCAGAGTATGTGGAGCAGCTTGTGCAATGCAGATTTCTATGAAGATAAATAATTTTATTAGTGGGCTCTAAACAGTAATCTCCTAGAATCAGCTGGGAGCCCTGTGCCTTGCAAAATCAGGGCCCCGATTGTTACCAGAACAAGGTAGTTATTAACACCATAGCATTCTATTGTTTATAATGTCAACCTAAAATTATATGAAAGTACTGTGTGATTTTGTTTTTTGTTCAAACATTGATTTCTGAAGATCCAATATAGAGAGATGTTGAAAATACCAGAAAGCTACAACTGTCCGTGTGAAGTCCTTAAGTTTGTGAATGTCAGTTCATTAACACAAGATGTGCACTTCATTATTTCTTTTTATTTTCAGTTTTTCTTTTAAATCAAACCAGTTTGATCCCCATGAAAAATTATTTTTGTTGAATACTATATCTGCTTTGCCCATCCCCTGTTTTGCAGAGTCCCATTACAGCTTCATACTTGTGTTTGCTTCCTGATTTATACAAACTTTGTTTTGCAGTCCATTGTTTCATCGATCCTTCTTTTCTACTCCATTTTTTTCTTGCTTTTCTTTTTCCCCTCCTTTTTGTTTCTTTTTTTATTTATTTTAAATTTAAGTTGGAAAACACTCTGGATCGTCGAACATCTTTTGAGAAATTCACACGCAATGTGGTAAGTTTGTTGCCTCGGAAGACTAGTAAACCTGATGGGACATCCTTCTCCCCTCCCCCTCACTGATCCCTACTTTCCCTTTTTGCTTCTCTAACCTGACAGTTAAAAGTGTATTCATCACAGTTTGTGAATTTTCCTAGGAATGACAGCTTTATAATGTGCTTTCATTACAACCCCTCCTCCCTAATCCCTTTCCCACTGACCTCAATAGTCACACATGGAGGAATGGACCTTTGGGAGCCATGCTTTTTGCATTAGGAAGCATGAAATTATTCACTCTTTTTTGTTTTTTTCTTTTTTTTTTTTTTTTAATTGTAGTAAAGAATCTTTGAAAACCTGCTTGATGTTGTTCCTTTTTCTGGTGCCTCCCAAAATACTAAGTCTAACACAATTTGAGTATATTGGATTTCCTTCCTATCTCCTTTTTATTCTATCAAAAAAGAGTTTGTCCCTTTTTTTTTTCAATTGGGCACAAGGAAAAATAAACAATAATAATTTCCCTATCTTCCTTAATGTCTAGCACAGCTTCTTCAGGACCAAAGAATTCATGCTGATGATGCGCAAGGGTTTGATTTGGGTTTCATTTTGATAATGGCTACAAGAAGTGATTTTTTTAAATACATAATTTTCGAAAGCTATTTCATGAAGGTAAAAAAATGAAAGCTGGTAAATTTGCTGTGGGCATTCTCTTGCCACGTGCCAAAACATCCACTGATTTCCTGATATGTGGGATTCTTTTTACTTATCCAGTTTCTTTGGATTTTTTTTTAACATTGTGAAAGTTCGAACTAAAGCATTCAACGCATTTATTTTTGTAGGGCAGAAACATCCCTATTTTCCCATGCCATAAAAACTGTACACCAACACTGAGGGCGAGCACTAACCTGTTATGAAAAGAGGTAGAAAGATCTTGGATTATACTCAAGTTTGTCTGCATTGTCTGTTGAATTGTGCAGGTGACGCTGCTGTGTGTGTGTGTGTGCGTCTGTGGCTTTTTCTGTGACCTGGTTAGTGGAGCTGTGTGCGTTGAAATGAAAAATATGAGAGCTTTCAGCAAAGATCATGGTTTTTGTTTTTTAGTTTCTAGGGAAGGAGAAGCAGTTCTCAGAAACTGCCTCCAGTATAATGAGGCTCAAGAGTATTTCCTCAAGTATTTAAAATATAAACATATACTTTCTAGTAATCAAAAGAAGAAACAAACACAGTGAAAGAACAAAGTTTTGTGAGGCTGTGGGAATATCTCACATGTTAAAACAAAACTGTAATTCTTTAACTACTTTCTTATAGGTAAAGGCGTCCTGTAATATGCTTTGAATCCACTGTAATCAGGAAGAAATTTGGATTCAATGGGACAAAGTAGTAAAGGACACTAAAAAGTAAATAAACAGCCACAAAGGAAACTATCCCAATGTTTGAAACAAAAACCCCTATATTTTGCATGGTGGTGTTGCCATAGCATGTTGCAGTGTGATTTGTGTGTTGTCTAAGCAGGTTGATCTATAAAACAACATTGTACATGGTAACATTATACATGATAATTACATGACAATTCCATAGGAAGTTCCATATGAATAAAAGAGCCTATGTTACTAAAAGAGAGTGTAGAGGGTAGGTAGCGCATCTGGGACCTCTGAGAGCCAGGTTTTTCCCAGTCACAGTGCCTGGCAAGCTGCAATAACTACGCTTATTCAGGGGAGCTTAACCAGCCCACAGCTCAGGAACAGGTTATGGTAAAGAGTATGTAAATCAGTGGCTATAGGGAGAGAAATAGCAAGCTGCAGACAGATGTGAGGAGAGTAGACCACAAAAAGGGAAAAAGCGAAGACAGCCTAGGAGGCACTAAGATGATTCTCCAATAATCCCTCTCAGAGCAGCGTTACCGATAAACCGGCAGTTCTGTGCGCAAACACTGGAGCATTATGCCCTGCAGGCGTGCCCGATTTTCATAGTACCAGAATAGCAGGATGCCAGAGATGCAAGGCAGGCCCAATAAACCAGCTGTGAGCTAGAAATGGGAACGAGGATTTCTGGATGTGAAGCGTTAGTACTTCTTCAGTAGGAGAGGGCGATTCTTTTTTCACGGAGAAAGCTATAAAATAACTGTGGTTTTGCTTTTTCTCAAACTACTACCTGTGAATCCGGGTGGAGTCTGTCAAGTCGGGTCAGGTATGAAAGTAAAACATGTCACTGCTAGATCTATATCTCTATTAGATCAGCAGCTCTGAGGCTCGAAATTAATCCAGAATGTCAGGATACTCAAGTGCAAACCTTTTCTCCAAGACGACTGAATTCACACCACCCACTGCCCCAGGACCCCTTGCCACCAGGCATCCTTGTTCTTCTGTTCTTGTTTTCCATTATGATGAGTTTATAAAATGTAATTATCTACCTTGGTACAGTGGTTCCAACTAGCAGGGATGAGGGAAATGTTTCTCAGAATGTCCTACGGTGTACTGATTAACTTGTTCAACTGTGAAGTGAGGGACTGTGGTATAGATCTGTTCTCCTGATTAATACAGAAAATAGGTGAGAAACAGGTCTTCTACAACCTGGATGAATGCTTTCATCTCTGAGTGATTCAGGAAGATGAAAATTACAGTTTCTTTTCTCCTCTGATGATTTAGAAAATTTAGACTAATTTTCACTATTTTTTTCCTCACATATCAAAGTGGGTTTGTATTGAACTAAATTAGACCTCATTTTTTTTCCATTTGAAGTGTTTAAAAAAAACCAGTAATCTTGATTGTGTTTAGGGACTGAACCTGAGAGGATGACCTTGTAATTCATAACCTGATTTGTTAAGACGGAGACTGTAAGAGGCTCCTGATCAGTGTTGATTGAAAGTGGGTTATACTTGCTACAGAAAGCATTTGTTAAACTAGAAAGTTTAGAAACTGTGTAAGGGCAATCCCTCTGTATTATTCCTTGAATTAAGTGGAAATAACCTAATATAATGAATTGTTATTCTAGTCTGATGGGGAAAAAATAAAAGTGGAGCTATATACACAAAAACCTCCTGGGCTCAACTCTGTATTTCTTTGACACTGGAGAGTTTTCTTTCCAGAAGACTTTCAGTAAGTTGGTGCGCTTTATGAAAGCCCTAAATGCTCAGTTTAAAAACATTGGCAATTTAGCTTGCTCTGGAGATTTTATAGCGCAAAGTTGCTAATGCCTTTGGCAGTCCACTACAGACAATATGAATAGTGTTAGAAACAGGTCTGCATTCACGTACAATATAGATAAAGTAATAGCAAACTGGCATTTGCTAAATGGAATATTTATTACCGAACGCTTTATAGTTTGCCTCTGAGTAGTAAGCACAGCTCTTCTTGGTTTGCCTCACCTATTCACACGCATGGGTATTGAGTGAAAATATCAAGCACAAACACTTCAGCGCTGCTGGAATGATGCCACTGGATAAGTGCATTGCCTTGGAGTAACACCCAACCACAGTGTCACAGCTCTGGCTCAGAGCCCCGGGGAGCAGTGACAGTGTGCTCTGTGCTCCCCCCTGGCCAGCTCAGCCTCTCACGTTTCTCTTTGGGAATAATTAAGGTCTAGTCCCTTGCAGCTCCCCAAGGAAGTGAGTAGGGAAGCTAAAGGCGTAAGTCAGGGAGCAGGATAATCTCATTGCTTGCTACAGTAGTAGAGAGAGGGAAATCAGTTGTTTCTGTGGCATTTAAAAACTGAAATTCTTTTGAGGGATTTACATGGCGGGGGGGAAATATCCATATTTAAAAAATTAAAAAATCAGGAAACCTCCTCTACTTCAAGTACTAACATCTACATTACAGAGAAAAAAAACAGGTGAATATGCACTGATAATATTGATGGGAACAAAGAGGTCCTTTAAGGAAAACTTTTGTCTTTGATTTCTCATGTGCATGCAGGATTTGTGACAGTGGCAGACTAGTAGTCTGAGCAGGACACCTTTGTGAGCACTAGCTGCTTAGCTGCAATCACCAGTCTGGAGGCCTTAAACAAAAGGATCTCATTTAGAGGGGAATGGGCTAATTTCATTTCCACCCAATGCCAAATTTCTTGTCCCACCAGGAACCACATTAGCAGGGCAAGAAGGTGCAGTCTCCCTCCTCGGAGCTGCCTGGGGGGAGACACTCCATCATCACGTGTTGGTGTCATGGCTTCAGACACCACCATCAGTGTTAGACTTTCATCCATTACTGTTCAATTATAGAGAAAGCAAAAAAATGTGCTTGTTGCAAGTTTGTCATGTTGTATGGAAAAATAGCCAGTACGAAGCAGACCAAACTCAGTTCCTATATTAAACTAGAGAGCCATCAGATGATAATTCCCTTCACTCATAGTCTCATAAACAAGACTCTATTTAATAACTCTGAGTTTGAAACCATTATATCTGTATTTAAAACCCATACCCTGTCCAGCTGTCTTCTCCCACTTAGCTGGAAGAACTTGCTGACCTCTGTCCTTTGATATTTTCCCCCTTCAAACCAGTAACATTAGACCATTTCATGCATGAGATGTGAAATGTGAAGGCCATTGAACACAGCACATTTTCACACAGGCTCAGTCCAATGTCACTTAACATGACCTAGCAAATTATGGTCTAGAGATGGAAATTAAAACTCATAAAAATAGCTTCCTCAGTTCTTATCAGCAGGGATAGACTTTTCAGATGCTTAAACCAGTGTAATCTCTTGTCATGTTAAAATCTGTCCCTTTATTGAGAAACAAAGCAGCTAATATTTTAATTTCATCTGTTAATCAAGAATTTTTTCTATATGAACAGGTAAAATTTATGTGCACAAGGCCCTACTGTGCCAGACCATCTAGCTCTGAAATCCTGCCAAGGGCTATATTTTTCTCAAGCATAGCATCGTGAATGAGCTTCAATGCAGTATCAGCTGTGGGATCTCATGTTCAACTTACAGTCATGGAAGAAATCCTAATTAGACTTTTGAATTTACTTGCAGGCTATTCCTAAAATTTAAACCAAAAAATAGCTAGTCAGAAAAAAAAATCACAAAGCTTCTTATTTGACAAATACAGAACAATAATAAAGATAATAAGTATTTGTAGAAATTAAGGCTTTTTCTGTTTCAGGAAGGAGATGGCTTATTGATGTTTGTCTAAAAAGAACTGATTAAATAATTGAAATTTTTAGTTTGGACTAATAATTAGGCCAAATACCTAGTTTCAGGGGTTTTTAGGAATGATGCCCAGGCTAATGAGGAAAATCAAAAAGAGCATCTGTAGGGCACGCCAGTGAGGACTGGACTCCTTGTCCTGTTCTGCAGCGACTGGAGCTAAGCTGCCGTGCTCTGTGCTGGAAAAGGAGAGCTGAGCACTTGCACAGCCAGGTTCACCTAAGTGAGGACCCAGCACATACCATTCAGGTATTAGGCCAGTGTCTGCCATTGCCCAGCTGACAAACATTTACCTGAGTCTTAAACTATTTGCAGGAATGAGAACTGCAGAGAGGTATAGAAACCTGAGGGGTCAGGCCTAGGACAACCATACTAAAAATATTTGTCTAATGCATTGGTGCCTTGGAAAATCTTATGTGTTACCCCACACTTCAGGTGGTTAATCAAGTCCAAACTACCCCATCTGGCAAGAGTGTGTAGGTTAATCACAAATGAGAGCAACTCATCAGTAAATGTAAAGATTAGAGCAAAAGGAAAAAGAAATCGGGAGTGTCACCCAATTTGGAATGAGCCAAAATAGGAACGCAGTCACTTAGCCGCTGCCTCCTGTCTGTGGACCTCTCCAGAAAACGGTACAGCCCTAATGAGAAATGAAGAGAGGACTGCAAATCCCCGTGATAGACAGAATGATTTTCCTGCACATGCAACCACTGGATGCTGCAGCTGTGCTGACAGCTTGTGCCCCCAGTTCAGTAAATGCTAACCTCCTCCTCTTCCTCACATGTCTGAAAGAGAAATACAGCTTCACGGGTGGCTGAGAGCAGCACCCCATGCTGCTATGGAAATGGAAGCAGAATCCTGACCCCCTGAGTGGTGCAAAAGCGATTCCCCTGTGCTAGACGAGCAAGGGCTGCCTAATCTCAGAAAGGGACTTACTGTTTCTGCTCCTGTGCCTCTCCAGATGTGCTTCTGTCAGGGGCTGTTTGCATACCGGCGCCGTGTGTGGTGCACTGCGATATCACTTGGGAACTTTCCCCGCCGATGCCGGCTGAGCTGCTGGCATGCTGCAGGTGTGTCGCACACGAGCAGATGGGGAACGGTGAAAGCAAGGAAGGTAGATTCTCACTCTGCATCTCATTTTGCTCACAGTGGGGTTCACACCATTTGTTACACCCGGTGAGATGCGTGGAATTCTCATTTCTAGTCCTAGCTGTATTGGTCCTGGGGTGTAGCATCTGCGCTGGCAATAACGAAACATGAAAAAGGAGCACTGAGTTGCTCAGCAGAAAGGAACAGAATTAAACTTCTAAAAGGAAAGACTTGATCTTCCTCTAGCGTACATTTCAGATCCAGCCCCTATATAAATTTCATACTGATTTCTTATAAGCCACTTAGGTACTGAGGTTGTTGCTGACTTGTTTGCCAGATTATCTGAGGTGTTAGTGTCATGCTGCATAAATAGGTCAGTCAGCACGTTTGTATTTAGCTGCTCATATATCTGGACATGGTTTTGTAATTTTGCCCCTAAATTCTCTAGAAGTACAGTTGGAAGGACAACTCTCTGTTAAACAGTTAATACACTAAGGTAGGGACTGAGCACTGAGGCCAATTGATTTCCTATTCTTAGATGCACTTGGTCACTCCAGCTGCTGTGCTACCTCCTCATACTCTGACTCCCTTGTCACTGTATGTCCACAGGGTTTCATTTTGGCTGGTGTATTATTAGTAAAATTGTTAAATAGTTTCAATTCATATGTCCAAAGTGCACCGATACAGCCAAAAATCCTGATCCTATTTAGAATTTGGCCATATACTACTAAATAGTGATGGCAAGAATATATTGAAAATCTTAAGGATCTTTTCATTCTTCAGTCAAACATCTGCTACTTCTTCTGACTTTTTTTCCAACTGTTCTTTAATCTCATTAGCATGGGAAATATTTTCCAATGTGTGATGACTCATATGCTACACCTCTCAAAACTGGCCTGTTAGATGTAGTTTACCAAACCAAAATTTGGCTTATGGAAATGCTATTAACATTGTATCTGAAAGAAATAGCTAGGCTCAGCTTTTAAATCGTGACCCACAAGGGATGATCCTTACATCAGTCTGTAAACTGAATAAATCTGGAAATCTCCTAGAAGTCATAATTATGAAACCCAACCATATAGAGCTAAACTAAAAGTATGCTCTGGAACAGAGATTGAAAGAAATGTTCTGTAAACTGGAAAATAACAAATCCCTGCAGATCTGAATAAGAAGGTGAGATAATTCTGTATTTGGGGCTGCTGTGGATTCTGTGTATTAAAAGCTTATTTTCCCAATGCAACAGAAGGAATGATGAGGAAAATAACAATGTGGAAATCCAAACACCTTCAAAGTATGTTTCAGAATAAACATGGAGGAAGATCTCTTAAAGAGGGTGTATCTTCTAAGCTGTCACTTTTCCAACTATAAGATAAATTAGAACCACTAATACCTGGAAAAAGCGCATATGTTGTTGTTCAGATGGAGACGTCATATCTATAAGGAGTGTAATATTCTCTGAGGCAGGGAGGGGAGGTGGAGGAGACAACCATCCAAAGACATCCTGATCACTGTAGGGCTTAAGAGAAAAAGTATCCAAAGACCAGCAATATCCAGGGAGTAAGCGATGCAGAATACAGAAAAAAATTGTCATGGCAGCTCACCGTGTCTATCAGGGGAAAATTCAAATAATATGTAGAATAAGATTATACAAGTCAAATCAACTAACTAATAGCTAGGTTTTGGCCTACTTTTAGGTCAAAATGTCCTAGTTTATGTGATACCACAATTCATTCCTGAGATGCTAGAATTTGGTTATGGTTCATCTAAAAATTCCAGGGAATTTACAACTCCTAAATAATCAATTGTTGCAGATAAGAATAAAAAATTATTTCGCAGATTTTACCCCACAACAAGAGCCTGCACAGCTTTCTGGTGCTGTATGGAAAAAAATGTTTTAATAACAATAGAGAACTCCTAGTTTAATTGTTTTAATTAACTGGTTTATGCAGTTCAGTACTAAAGGGAACACATACATATTTACAGAAAGTAGCCAGGCTTGTAGACCTGTAAAATGAAGCAGTAATAACTTAATGAAAGGCAAAGACAAGAGTATGCTCAATATTTTCTCAGATTATGTCTAAGGCTGACCATCATGAATTGCCTAACAAAACACTTCATTTTGGACACGGTGTTTTAAATTGTATTCCAGTGCCACACAGCTGTTGAGATTTTTCTGACTATTTAAAAAGAACAGATGGCTTACTATAACAGCTTACCTGTTACATTAGAGAAAAACATAATTTAAGGCTTAACAAGTGTCAAGAAGCTGTGAATTTAATGTAGGTAGAAAGCGACAGAGTTAAAGCCAGACATGGGGAAGAGAGCGTGCCAGGAAGGACACTTTACGTTTTTCAAAGAAGCGAGAATTAATACTGTCAGGCTATATGGTGAACCTGATGGATGAGCAGTCTAACCCAACATTGCAGATCATGAGTTCCCTTCACAATTAGATTGTAGAGGAAATATTAATCCTAATTTGTTCAACCTGTATTTCAGAGCACAAAGAATAAAATAGTTATTCTTCCTTTTGTGAAGACCCACTCCGATATATTGCACTTGAGTAAATGCTTGAAACTAACTTGCAGATCCCTGTGAGCATAAATTTAATTGATAATGGCAATAGCTATTAAATTGTGTAATTCCACTGAGTTATAGTACAGCAGATGACTTAACAACTCATTGATATGGCAGAATAAGTTCATTTACCATTTACTGCAGAAAATGTGCCACCTCTCCACAGTTACAGTATTTCTTACTGTAGTCTCCTTGAAACCAAACAGATTTTTCTGAGTTGCGCACTTAAAATGAACAATACAATAAATGTAAGTATTCAATATCTAACTGGAGAGTTAGACAGAGCCACTTTCTATTTAATGTTTTATGACCTATTTGTGTTACATTATCAGGGTACGCCTGTGGTATTTTGAGGAGTGTTGTAAGCTTGCTGTGCCAGCTCTGCCTCTGTCAGAACAGAGGCACGGTAGGATGGCCCTGGGAGAGCTAACTCCTTTTATGTGGCCTTAGGAGAGCTGATTCCTTTTATGTGCTTTCATGGCTTTTGTCTGGCTCAGATAAAGCTCAAAGCTGCCTGAAATATACCATGGTGACATACCCTACACCATCCTTTTCACGCTGTACACCTAACCCTTGTGGGACAGTCATTATACCTTATTAAAAGAACTTGCTAAAAACCTGAAACCGCATCCTTGCAACAGAAGGAATGATGAGGAAAATAACAATGTGGAAATCCAAACACCTTCAAAGCAGTCTTATGCAGTCACATGTAATATACCTGACCAATGTTGCTTATAAATAGTAAATACGGTCTCAGCAGACCGATAGCTGCGTTCATGAAAAAGCTGCTTTCCTGCCTATATGCAATCTGCCTCTTACTTTCTTACCTTAACTTTAAAGCAGCATTTTGTCTTCCGTGACAGAGCTACCGCAGTTTGCACATTCATCTTTGTAGCCCAAGGCACTCTCGCTTGTAGTAGCCTTCTTCAAGCTCTGGGTATGACTGACAGCAAAAACCTCAGCATTAGTTTCTCATCAGCCAAACCCAATCTCATTAAAAAAATGGCCTTTAAATTTGCTGGCTTATTCTGTGAAACAATCTGGCTGACTGGCAGTGCAGATGTTGACGTGTAAGGGCTTCTTGTGGTTTAAGATTTGACAGACTCCAGTTGGTGCCCCTAGTTATTTGACAGTGATGTGGCAACACTAAGTGGTTGCTGATGAACAGGTTTGCAGTGATCATGCCTCTGTTTTCTGTTTTTTGTTTTTTGTTTTTATCTTTTCCTCAGGGGAAATCGCTCACATCAAAGAGGTTAACCAGTCTAGTGCAGTCCTACTAAAAGGATCACCTTGTAGCATGGAAGCAGACTCAAATCATTATACATACTTTGTAGCTCACTGATTGCCTGACTCAGAGGACAGTAGAACAAGATGTTGCATGAGCAAGGACCTGACTTGTTTTCTTTTGTGTATACTAAGGCATTACAGACTCCGAGGGACTCTCTAGCCTTTCGATGCCTCCATTTCGAAAACTGTCTGCTCACTTCCTCCTTCATATCAAGCTGGATCTATGTCTTTTTATTTTCTGCAAGCTCAAGTACAGTGAAAAAAAAGCTTCTGCTAGGCACAGTTTATTAAAAAAATACGTCAATCAAAAACTGGAAGAAATGTAAAAAATGCATATATTAATAAATATACATATGGCATCACATTTATTGCACAATAAATTAGCACAGAAGGTTTCATTTCACTGATGTATTCACATTGAGAAAGAAAGCCTGTGTCTTTGTCTGTTGTCTGTATATTCTCTGTTAATGTTTCTTGCATTTATTTTTATACCATATTTAAAAAAGAACACCTTTTACTCCAGATGTATTAAAGTTGATCCTTTCTCTGTAAATTTGTGTATGTTTATATTGTTGTTTTATCTTTCATTAAAAGATGCAGAATCTCTTTCCTTTGGGAAGTTTGAGATTTCAATATTGAATCTGAAGATTAGTCAAGAGCAAAATCATCCCCAAAAGTTACACACCTTGTGCTTTCTAAAAAGTGACATGAAATGGCATTTTCTTTCTCTCAGTGACACCTGATCAAACACACTTTATTGATAATCATTCACTTTAATTTTCTTTTTATCAAGCTAGCTGCACAGAGACCTTTCCAGCTTGCTCATCATCATATAAGCAAACCTGTCTTTAAACTAGACCCATTCTGTAACAGTGCAGCCTGCACAGCGATTCAGTCGCTACCCAAGACCAGATCGACTGAACTGCGTTTCCTTAGGAATGGACATGAACAAAGATGGCTGAGAACAGAAGTGTGTACTTGCTAAATAGGAAGGACAGTGTTTCTTTCTCCTTGCTGTCGCCTGTGATACAATGCAACATTTTAAGCTGAAAAGGCAGTGGTTTGGGAGTGCTGTGTGTACTGTCTGTAGAGCAAACCTTGGGTAGGAACGCGGGAGGCTGTCATTTTAATTCAAGGGCTCTATTCAGGTGTGCTGTTGTATGTCTGCTGCTGAGGTTACTCACACAGAGACCCACTGACAGGTTTATGACACCATGTAGATGTTGCCCACAAGACAGCAGATATGGAGCTTCTGAAGCTAAGCTGAGCTGGAACCAGAAATCTCTGCTTGGCCTGGGAAATGGCACTTTTGACTGATAGAGGTGACGTAAGGACAGTAGGCAGAATCTCTGACTAGAAAAGCGATGATGGGAACTAAGTCAAAAGACAAAATGCTGATACCTCCAGGGCATCGTAGGGTGCATAGGACAAACAAGCCTTTTCAGCAATGCACAGGATAGGCTCAGGACAGCCAACTCTAGTACCATCTGTCATCCCGACTTTGGTTGGATATTGAGAAACAGGAATCTTGTTTCAAAGGGACTACCAAACCTAAAAATGCACACCCTCCCACACACGCACACACACAAAGTGGGACACTCATAGACACAATTGGAGAATATATTTGAATACATTAACGCTCGAGTCATCTCATTTACCATCAGATACCTACCTGAGTTGTTGCTGCTAAACGACAGGGCTCCTGCACAGAGCAGCTGTGGGCAGAAGGGAGCTGAGCTGCCTTCTGCAGGCAGCGCTCGCTTCTCCGCTCGCGCTCTCAGCAGCCTGGTGCAGCCGTAGCCCCGTCTGCAGCATTTCTGAAGAGGTAGTCTGAATGAATCCAGGACAAAAATGCATTACAGATCACCACGAATGGCTGTTCCCCAGGTTTTGCTCAGTTAGGGTTTCTGGAGGTTTGGGTTTTTTGTTTGTTCTTTCTTTTCACGTCCCACTGTGTTTCTGGTTTCCAGCTAGGATGATAATCACTGCTTTAGTGTCTCAGTTTTTGTTAGTGCAATTCTACTAAGATTTTATCAGAAAACACTGGAAATGCCCCATGAGAGCTTGATTTTATCAAGAGCTCCATCTAGGTCAACTTAAAATATTCACAGTCTAGGGAGGCCAGATGAATTTTAATAAATAGCCACATAGAACCCCAGATCTTAAACTCTGAGAGTTAATTTTCCTTTACCACAGAAATGCGAGCTCTGAAGCATGAACTTGAGACCAGGCAATCCACAAAAAATTTGAGCTCTGTTTCACTTCTCAGTGCCAAATAGAGATATTTATTTCCAAAATCCTGCTGCCACCAATTGCATCAGCTGGTATATTGCTGCTTTGCCTTAGGAGTTAACTAATTAGACACCAGCGTCTGCTTTGAAGACTCACTCCCTTCAAATAACTAATGTTTCAAAATCATCCATTAGGTATTCCAATCATCCATTAGGAATCCATCAGGTATTCCACCCCCCTAAGAAATATGGGGGGTTTTCCAAATCACTTTGCAACACCAACTGGCCAATAGAAAGATGTGGAGCATTTGTATTCCTGAACCTGTTTTGTACTTATTCTAGTTCTTTCCTTTCAATAAATATGAAGTCTCTATTGAAAGGCTGTCTTTCCCTGTATTTGCAGAGGATTTAACACAATGTCTGTAAAATAAAAATATGCATTACTAATAAGGATTTCAAAGTAGTCAGGGAGCTGTATTGAGGTTTCATTTGAGTTTAGTCTCAAGTGATGCAACTCCACTGTTACACATGAGTGAATTTGGCCCAAACTAAATCTATCCTACAACCAGTTGACTTTTAAAGGGTTTGTCTGCAACCTTTTGATACTTCACCTGATCACTGTCATCTGTCAGTGATATAATACTGGGACTGGAAACTCCAAGTAGGCACAAACTTCCTTTTAATTCCCCACAGAGAAAGGCTAAATGTTTGTCTCCAAATTTATATGAAGATCTACTTCCAAGAATTAACTCAGATTAAGATGTGTTTGTACAACCACCAAACAGCTGAGGTGTGACTTTGGTTACACAATGATATACCCATTAGGAATTTCAGTGAGGCCACAAGTCTGCTGAGGAAAAAAGGACTGAGAGAGAAACTCAATCTGAAGGGACCATATTTCTTGTCTCCTGGGGAAGAGCCATCAATCAGTGCCTCCTGGCTCTGCCCAGGAAGCTGAAAACACCCTCCATTAGGGGTTATTAATTGTAATACTCATTAAAATAACCACTTGGAGCTGGGAACTTCCATCTGAGAGTTGGTGTTCATCAGTCTCTTTCTTCATGCATCCTTGTGCATAAAACAGCTCGCAAGCCTACAGGAAAAGAAGTGTTTGCTAATACTGCTGCACCCTTGAGATGGTTTTGTGCTCCCAGACCAGTCTGGGAAGGAAAATGGCCTGTGGGAGGGACAGGAGCCTCCCTGGCACCTACCTGACAACAGCAAAATACTCACCCATTCTTCCATAAGGTGCAATTAAAAACTGTCCTTCCAAAGAAGGAGGAAAAAGGCCTTAAACAGTGATGAGAGAAATTGCAAAATGCTGGGCTGAAACAGTAGTGGAGACTGGCCAAAAATTACTGAACTGAAGGTGAATACAGGAGTAAGAAATGGGAATTAAATGTGGTGACCAGAACAGAACTGACAAGGGAGGAGAACTGGGGAACTGAGTAATTAAGAGCAAGAAAGGTTGAATGCAGCTGGTGGATTGCCAGCCTGTTGGCCACAGCTGTGCACAGTTGGAATCAAAATCCCCAAATCAGATAAGATCAACTGTGGCTGGCCCTTTAAAACCCAGCAACAACTTTTTTTCAGCTAGAAAGCAATTAATACCAAATATCTAGAACTGCTTTTTTCAAATTACACCCCTAATATTGTTTGAAATCATGAGACATAAATGCCAAATAGTCCCCTAAGAAATAACAAATAGGAGGGCAAAAACCAGTTCCAGAAAACGGGACCTATGGGAATGCATTTAGGATGTTTATTTATTTTTAAAAAAAATAGAGCCAAAGCAGACAACTAAAGTGAGAGAAGGCTCTTTTCTTTAAGTAACTGGAATGAGGAGTTGGGAATGATAAGTGATTTATTTGTGGCTCTTCCAATTATTTATCTTTATGCCAAGTGATTAACAGCTGTTTGAATTTAGATTTTAAAATGACCATATTTTTAGTGTCCCTTCTAGCTGCAGATGTGCATAGAACTAATACTGGAGTTACTAACTTAGGTGCATAAAACACAGGAATTTTGCCAAAGGAAAGTTAAAAGCTCTAGGGACCTATATAAAATAAGGTTTTAATGCCAAGATGTTCAAGGGAAATTATCAACAATTTGTTTGAACATATTCTGTGTCCACAATTCATTTAAGCAAGTTACTAAGAGGGTGTGAATCATACCAATCTGCCCTTTGATCTGCCTGTGCTGAACAGATTAATGCTTTTGTCTCCTGTGAGTTGAAGATAGGCTGAAGTCCCAATATCAAAGAGGCGGAGGGGAAGAAAGAACGATCTCTCTGAGGCCGGGCTCCCCCTCCTCTTGCTGTTCTGGACTGTGGAGTCCTCAAGAGGCATGTGTACAAATAAATGGGGGTTTTTTGTACAGACATCGGCTTGAGGGCTGCAGAGTCTCTCCAGACTGTCATTATCTCTGCCACTATGAAGTTTATTTCCTAGTATCCACACTAAATCTTCTTTGCTTCAATTTATCCCTTTATTTTTGACCAGGCTGCTACAATCACTATAATAAAATGTTCTCTACCGTTTTGCTCAAATATGTAAACAGCCATTGCAATGTTACAGCCTCCTTTGGTTGGTTTTCTTACTGGTGTTTTCTGAAGTGTTGAGGGACTTCATTGTTCTCCTCCAGGCTGGGGAGTGTCACAGCTTTCTTGGAGGACAGTGCCCAGAGCAGTCTGCAGGGCTCCCACCGGGTTTTACAGGAGGAGAGCGGAGGATTACTGTTGTACTTCTGTCTGTACACACAACTGTGGGCCTTGCCCTTTTTGCAGTAGATGGCCACTACTGAATTGTGCCAGCTTACATGGCGTGGTGATGCCCAGATCCTTTGCAGTAAAACGTAGACGGTTGTTCCTCTTTGTGCGTAGCTCACTCTTCTTGGGTCAGTGCGGCATCTTCAGTTGTCCATTGAGTAGCATCCTCATTTTTCAGACCATCTTTGTCTTTTCCCAAGGTCACTTTTCTTTTTTGATTCTAACTTGTGAAATACTTGTAGTCCTTTTACCTGCGGGTATCTTTATGTGTGGGTCTGAGTGAGGAATCTGCTGGCCTGATTCTTTAACACAAACGCATGAATGCGAGTGGGTACCATCATCACTATTTGCCATAAGGGATCTGTATGTGTAAATTGTTAAGAGAAATTGCTGGGACAATAAACTGTGAGAACCTGCTCAAATGCTAGATGATAGTCCTTATTTACAAGTGTGGCCACAGACAGTAAATATCAAACAATATTAAGACACAATTGTAAATGTTACCTTGTTAGTGGCATTTGCACAATTTTTATTGTACTCTTTCTTCGCTCCCAAAATATATTCTGCTGCATTCACCTTCATTGGCTCTTTTTTTTTTATTTGACTAG